CACACACACACACACACACACATACACACACACACACACACACACACACACACACTATTACATACTTATACATGTACTTAAGTAGTACTAAAATGGTTTACTTAAAGGTGGGGTAGGTAAGTTTAAGAAACCGGCTCGAGATACACTTTTTGTTATATTCCATGGAATGCTCTTAACGTCCCGATAGCAATGAATACATTAAATGCTTTGACAAAAAATCCATAAAAAATGTCATCTCTGGAAGCCGTAGCGCTGTAGAAAGCACGACCAATCATTTTAGCCGGCCCGGCTAAAGTAACTGGATGGCCTACCTGCCTGTCATCCTTCCATCTGTGCACAAACTTATCTCGTGCCCTCATATTGTATAAACACTCTGTTACAAGTCCTGCATATTAAAGTTCACCCACTAAAAGTACAAAAGTGTTAAGTNACGACCAATCATCTGAGCCGGCCCGGCTAAAGTAACTGGATGGCCTACCTGCCTGTCAGCCTTCCATCTGTGCACAAACTTATCTCGTGCCCTCATTGGTCATGTGTGCGTTCGTGTGTGTTGGAGGAGGGGCTCTGGAAGGAAGTGGCAGATTTTTTCCGGCTGTGTATTTTCTAATTCTAGCGCAGTCGAGCTGGTTTCTCCAAAATGACCTACCCCACCTTTAAGTTAAAGTACTAATACCACATTGTATAAATACTCTGTTACAAGTCCTGCATATTAAAGTTCACCCACTAAAAGTACAAAAGTGTTAAGTAAGAAGAACGTTGCATCTAGCATTTAATAACTGCTGAATTCCTGCTAAGTAACGCATATTTGGATCTTTATGGGATTTAACATGACGTTTTTCTTCACCTGAATTCAGTGCATTTTAGTTTTGCCCTCCTACACTTTTGTATCTTACTCTTCTTCTCTCTGCTGCAAAGTTTCCTTATTCCAAGCGCCCCCTGCTGGTTATTAGTTTAGGAAGCACCTAGTTAATATGCAGCCGATCTGATCTGTGTTTAAATGTCGATATCGCAGTTGATGAGGTTTTTGGTAGGAAGCATAAACTGTGATTGTAATTATTATTTGAGTAATCGTGCATTTAATACATTTCTGTACATTGTATTAAGTTGAACAACAGATTGAATTAGATATTCAGCGTCTCAGACTTGTCTCTCTGCTCAGGTGTGTACGCAGGTATAAAGTTCTTCGTCATCGACTTCCTCTTCAAGAGCTGTCCGAAGCTGAGGCAGCGCTTCGACACGCCGTTCATCATCTGGACCCACCTGCCCACCGACCTGCAGCTGAAGGAGCGCGGCGGCTCCACGCTCACCAGGAGGGTCAGTACACATTCTGAAATGTCCAGAAAATACCAGGAAAATATCCAGAAATATGTAGAAAATATCCCCCATAAAATATCTAGGAAAGTTCATAGTAAATATTTAAGAGATATCCAGAAAATACCTAAAAGATATATACACAGAATACCTCAAATACATCCACAAAATGTACAGAAAAAAAATTAGAATAAGAAATATCCAGAAAACAGTTGCAACATTAAAGTGATGCACTTAAATGCATCAATTATTATAAAACGGTAATTCATTGTAATACTTGGGAATGTTTTTTTATTTCAGGACTTTTACTTAATGACTTGTAATATTACTACTTCTTATGAAGTAAAGCAATACTCCCTCCACCTCTGGTTCTTACTGGTCCCAGCAGCTGGTTCCTGGTGTTCCTGGTTTTTCAGTTTTCATTTGTTCTTCTCTCACAGCTGTCTGAGTCTGAACAGGTAGGAGTGTGTGTGTGTGTGTGTGTGTGTGTGTGTGTGTGTGTGTGTGTGTGTGTGTGTGTGTGTGTGTGTGTGTGTGGGGAGGTCAGCAGTGTTTATTGTAGTTAGATAAGTAGTGACACTAATGCCCCCCCTCTCAGCTGCTGGTAGTGTTTGTGATGGTGTTAGTTTGAGATATCATAAACCTATACGTCAAATGTTGCCTCTTTTACTCAATTTCTTTCAGGTTTGTAATAAAGGTAAAACTTCTACACATTGATAATCACCAGAATTGTTCTTCTTGATATTTGAATGTCTCCTTTCCTCTGGCGCCATCCTCAGGTCACTCTTAGATCCTACCAAATGTTCATGTGTCCAAACTAATGTTAAACGGTTTGTATCAATATCTTTTTTAGTTTTTAGGTACAATTTTGGGTCAGGTAAACAAATATTGAAGTTGGTTCTTCTTCTCTTCACTACCAACGTCACATTTTGCTCTGCATAACTGGGAATAGTCTTTCACGTCTACTCTGGAAAAGATACTCTGTGAAGCGAACACAGCTGTCAAATCCATATTAGTGTGATTAACACTGATAATGCATCCATTGGTTGGAACAACAATAGCCTCGTCTCACAGTGATGTTCAGGACGTCCCCACAGATCCTCTCTGCTGCTGATTTTTAAAGCTAGTATCCCCCCCCCTCCCCCCCCCCTCCAGGTCACGTTATCCAGCGGGCGGGGCAGCGTCGGCCCGGCGGCTCCTCTCAGTGCGAGCCGGGATGAAGACGGAGGGCGATACAGCAGCACCAAGAGAGGAGCTTTCCACGAAGTGTTCAACCTGCAGGAGAGCGAGCGGCCCCTGACAGGTTGGCAGGAACTCTAGATATGTGTTTGTTGCTTTTGTTTATTTGAATTTCTGTCCCGTCCGTTTATTTGCATTTGTTGTGTTTGTTTATTTGAATTAAAGTAGAAAACAAGTCTTTAATCTAAAACAACCTTTCTTTACTGGACCGTAGCTAAGAATTGAGCAAAATCAATATTTATTCAGATTATTGTTAAATGATCAGAATCAGAATCAGAATACCTTTATTAGTCCCACAGAGGGGACATTTACATTTGTTACAGCAGAAAAGAACCAAAGACAGCTTAATGTTACCTAAGAAGCATAACAACAAATATTAAAGACAAAACATAATTAAAATAATTACACAATTTACAAAATACACATCCTGTAACAGTTCTGAAGATATAGCAGCCAGGTATATATTACACAGTTACTAACGGCAATTACTAGTTTAATCTTCAACAGGTAGGTCTAACTGCTTCACAGTGACATAAATTAACCTCTAATGAAAAATACTAATGTCTTTATACATGCATGACCCTTAAAAGTAAATACATTGAGTCTTCAAGCACTGGACACGCCCTCATTCCCACAAGAAGCTGCCTGACCCTCCTGCATGTAGTGATGTTTGACTCTTTGTGTGTCAGTGTGTGAGAGCGGCTGGCGCTGCTGCCTCATCAACAGAGACAGGAAGTCGCCCACTGACTACATCCGCAACGGATACCTCTACGTCACCGAGAAGTAAGTCCCTCACTTCCTGTTCACATTGATTATTGTTCCCGCACAATGTTTTCAGACGGAACACAGATGAGGAGGGAGACTGCAATACAGTTTTGAGATCAAGCTGAGGCCGTAGTATTTATAGAAGATCAGAACAAATTGTCAAATTTCTCCAAACTTTACTCTCCGTACATTACATTTTAAAATACACAAGTGCAGAATAAACACTGTGAAACGTGTAAAACTGGATCCGTGTTTGTTCCTCTGTGTTTTCAGTCATCTGTGTTTTGAGAGCTCCAGCTCCAGATCTGGATCCTCCAAGAGGAACAAAGTCATCAAACTGGCCGACATCACCGACATCCAGAAGGTTTGTTCTGACAAAATGTTGCGTAGGGCCCCAATTTGACCAGGGGCAGCACTGCCTTCGGCATGGGAGCCTGCCTGCAGGCGCCAGTCTCAGGACACCTCCACTCTGAGCACACCTCCACTCTGAGGACACCTCCACTCTGAGCACACCTCCACTCTGAGGACACCTCCACTCTGAGCACACCTCCACTCTGAGGACACCTCCACTCTGAGCACACCTCCACTCTGAGCACACCTCCA